TAGTCGAAGTAGTAGTAGTATTAGTCGTACTAGTAATAGTAGAAGTAGTAGTAGTAGTCGTCGTCGTCGTCGTCGTCGTCGTCGTCGTCGTCGTCGTCGTCGTCGTCGTCGTCGTCGTCGTCGTCGTAGTAGTAGTAGTAGTAGTAGTACTGGTAGTGGTAGTAGTCGTAGTAGCCGTCGTCGTCGCCGTCGTCGTAGTAGTAGTAGTAGCAGTAGCTGCAGAAGTAGCAGTGATAGGAGCAGTAGAGGTAGTCGTAGTAGTAGCAGTCGTAGTAGTAGAAGTAGTCGTGGTGGTAGTAGTGGTGGTAGTGGTAGTAGTCGTAACAGCAGTGGTAGTAGTAGTAGTAGTAGTAGTAGTAGTAGCAGCGGTCGTAGCATGAGTAATAGTAGTTATAGTAGTAGAAGTAGTAGTAGTCGCAGTAGTAGTAGGAGTAGTAGTAGTAGTAGTGGTAGTAGTAGTAGTCGTCGTAGGTAGGTAGCAATGGTAGTAGTAGTAGTAGTAGTAGTAGTAGCAGTAGTAGCAGTAGTAGAAGTAGTGAGAGTAACAGTCGTAGTAGTAGTAGTAGTAGTAGCAGTAGAAGTAATAGTAGTAGTAGTAGTAGTAGTAGTCGTAGTAGTAGTAGTAGTAGTAGTAGTAGTAGTAGTAGTAGCAGTAGTAGTAGAATTGATAGCAGCAGTAGTAGCAGTGGTATTCGTAGTAGTCGTATTAGTCGTAGTCGCAGTAGTAGTAGTAGTAGTAGTAGTAGTAGTAGCAGCAGTAGTAGTAGTAGTAGTAGCAGTAGTCGTAGTAGTAGTAGTAGTAGTAGTAGTAGCAATCGTAGGTAGTAGTAGTAGTAGTAGTAGTAGTCGTAGTAGTCGTAGTAGTAGTGCTAGTAGTAGCAGTAGTAGTAGTAGTCGTAGTAGTAGTAGCAGCAGTAGTAGCAGTAGTAGTAGTCGTAGTAGTAGTAGTAGTAGTAGTAGTAGTAGTAGTCGTAGTAGTAGTGGTAGTAGTAGTAGTAGTAGTAGTAGTCGTGGTCGGTTTAGTAGTTGTAATAGTAGTCGCAGTAGAAATGGGAAAAGGAAAAATAAGAGTGGCCGGCGTCGTAATAGTAGTCTTGTTATAGCCTTAGTTGTCGTACTCGTAGTAGGAATAATCGCAGTTGTGATAGCAATCGTAGTCTTAGTAGTAGTACTAGTAGTAGTAGTCGTGGTCGCCGTCGCAGACAAAGTAATAGAAGGAGTATCAGTCGTGGTAGTAGCCGGAATCGTGGTAGTAGCAGTGGTACAAGTAGCAATAGTAGTAGTAGTAGTAGTAGTAGTAGTAGTAGTAGTAGTAGTCGCAGTAGTGATAACAATACTGATCGTCGTAGTGGTAGTCGGGGTAACAGTAGCAGTAGTAGTAATACACGTAGTAATGGTAAGAGTAGTAGTGGTCGTAGCAGTCGTAGTTGTAGCCGTAGTCGGAGTAGTAGTAGCCGTATTATCATGAATAGTAGTAGAAGTCGTATACTATTCTTAACAGTAGTAGTAGTAGTGGTAGTAGTAGTAGTAGGAGGAGGAGGAGTAGTAGTAGCAAGAGTAATACCAGCGATGCTAGTATTGGTCGTCGTCGTCGTAGAAGTAATTATAGTAGGAGCCGTGGCAGTGACACGAGCAGCGGTAGTAGCAGTCGTCGTAGCAGTGGTACTGGTAGTAGTCGTCGTACTAAGACTTGTAATAGTCGTAGTCGTAGAAGTATTAGTAGTAGCCCTACTCGTAGTCCTAGTAGTCGTAGTGGTAATAATAATTATAATGCCCGTAGTGGTCATAGTAGTAGTCGTAGTAGTAGTAGTAGTAGTAGTAGTAGTAGTAGTAGTAGTGGTAGTAGTAGTAGTGGTAGAAGTAGTAGAAGCAATCCTAGTAGTAGTAGTAGTGGTCGTAGTAGTAGTAGTGGTAGTAGTAGTAGTAGTAGTGGTAGTAGTAGTGGTGGTGGCAGTCATAGTGTTGGTAGTAGTACTAGTAGCAATAGCGGTGATAGTCGTTGTAGTCACAGCCGTAGTCGTCGTCGCATTCGTGAATGTAGCAAGAGTGGTAGTACCAGTGGTAGTGGTAGCCGAAGTCGTATTCGTATTAGGACGGATCGTAATGGTAGTCGTAGTAGTAGTAGTAGTAGTAGTAGTAGTAGTAGTAGTAGTAGTAGTCGCCGTAGTCGCAGTAGTAACACCAAAAGTGCGCGAAGTAGATGTAGCAGTCGTAGTAGAGGTGACAGTAGTAGTTGCAGTCGTAACAGAAATTCGTACTATCAGCCAGGGTAGTAGTAGCACTCGTAGTAGTAGTAGTAGTAGTAGTAGACATAAATAGTAGTAGTAGTAGTAGTAGTAGTAGTCGTAATAGTAATAGCAGTAGGGACAACAATACTAGTAGTCGTGGTAGCAGGAATAGTCGTAGTAGTAGTAGTAATAACACAAATGCGAGTAATCGTAGTCGTAGTGGTAGTATAGTAGTAGTAGTAGTAGTAGCAGCAGTAGTAGTAGTAGTAGTA